AGGGAGAGGGAGGGGGGGAGGGAGGAGGGGGACAGAGAGAGGGAGGGAGAAAAAGACAGAGAGACATAAAGAGGAAGAGAGAGAGAGAGTGAAAGAGAAAGGGAGGAGAGAGAGAGAAAGAATGAGAGGGTGAGAGAGAGATAAAGAGATGGGGAGAGAGAGAGACAGAGAGAGAGAGGGAGAGAGAGAGAGATTTTTCCGGGGCTGCCGGGGCTCCTAATAAAGGATTCACTGATTTAACTACAGAGGGTTTGTTGTGTTTGGGGAGCTGGGTCAGAGCAGCCATTGCTCACCTCTAACTTCTTCTCCTTCTCCGTCAGCACGTCCTTCTGGGTCTGTGTGTATTCGATCAACATGCGTGCCAGCTGGCGCCGGTCTTCCAGTTCCGCGGCTAGCCGCCCGTTGTACTCCGCCAGCAGCAAACACGCCTCGTCCACCGTCTTCGACAGGCGCTCTGCCGCCTCTTTGTCTGCGCACAGAAGCAGTGAGCGCGTTAGAGAGAGGCCACACGACACCTTTTGCGTTGCTGACAGGCAGCAGCCGTCCTTCTGGACACACCAACCACCCCACAGCACAGACAGTCCTCAACTTACGAGAGCCCCAAATTTAGGTTGCTACGCATTGGTTAAGTTTTGCCCTGTTTCCCTAATGGGATTTTTTTCATGCTGGAAATTGCGAAGAAAATGTGATCGATTGCAATGACAGGATGGAGGGACACCACAACCAGTCGTAAATGGGAGCCAATTGCCAAGGGTGCAAACTGAAGGCTGTGGCTTCTTCAAGGGCCCCTGTCATTCCAAACTGTCAATAAGCAAATGGCGGTGAAGTTGAGGACGACTTATACCAGGGGTGGGGAATTCTGCCCCTTTTATGACTTGTGGACTTCAACTCCCAGGATTCCTGAGCCAGGAATTCTGGGAGTTGAAGTCCACAAGTCTTAAAGGGGCCGTGGTTCTCCACCTGGGTCAGCTTTGGAAGCCATATTGAGACCCGATGCTCCCATGCTGCCACAATTGAGCCTGGGAAAGTGGGGGGGGGGGGGGGATTCATTGGATTATATCTAATTCTTTTTCTGATTCAAGGTCAGGTCGTGTTGCACATAAGTGAGAGGAAGTCTTAACTTGGAATGGATGGTGATTGGGCCGTGTGGTGCCATGACGGGTGTAGGGGATGGATTTTGTAGTTTTTGCTTATTGTAAGGAAGCCCAGAACTTTCAAATTTGGGATTTCCCAGATGGGCTAGTTTACTATCCAAATAAAAGGAACTTTTGAGAAGATGTTTCATTTTACAAAGGCCCAAGGCTCTATAAAGCATAAGGCTAGCTGTGAAGATTATGGACTTAGAATGTAAGGTTGTATATATTATCTTACCCAAAAGGGGAGAATGTTAGGAATAAAAGTCACCTAACAGGTATTTGGGTTAGAAATATATAAACCAGGATAAACATCTTAGTACTATACCTTTAAGGGAATGCAAGAGCATGCAATTGGGTGTGGTTACTCAAACGGCCATAAGATGGAGCCAGAAACCTGGGTTGTTTAGTCTGAGTCTCAGAAGAGAGTGTGAGTGTATCTCTGTTTCCTTCTGTTGGAAAATATTGCCGTTGCTCCATTTCTTCTAATTGACTGATATTGCTGGATTTAATGTAAGTCTGATACTGAACTGTTTTTGACACTGGAATTTGATATTTGGATTATCCCTGGATGAAAACTGACTGATTTTACCTGTGAATGACTTTTGGATTGCTTATTTTGGACTTTGCTTAAACCTTTCTGGAAGTAAAAACCTACATTTACTGTACAGTATATCTGTGTGCTGTGTGTGTATTATTCCAACACTTCTCTCAAATACGTCTCCCTGTATGCGCTCATTCTCTTAACGGGGAATTACCTCAACAAAATGGAGGTTTGCTGGAACGCTGGCACTCTGACATATCCCATTCGCTTTCCCACTGAAACTCTTACACACCCAGAACCCTCCCAGGTTTAACTTCGGTTTTTCTCAGCCAACCTAAGAGCAGAGGCTCACCGGTGATCTTCTCCAGCAGGGAGACATCCTGAACCTCCTGGGGAAGAGAAGCGATCTTCTGCCGCACGGTGGCATCGCCCGAGGCCGCATTCTCCAAGTCCTGCAGGGCTTTGATCAAGTCCTCCGCCTGCCCGGGTGAGACAGAAACAAGATGCCCGCTGCGGCTTCGCCAGAGGACACCCCACCGCTCTACTTTGGGCGCCTCTCCCCCAAAGCTCTCCTGCACCACTACCCACCCACCTGTGCCCACGAGCGGGGCGCTCGCTGTCAAAGAGGAACAAAGGTGCCCTGGACACAGACGGTCAACTGTTTGGCTGGAGTCGCCCGGAGTCCCCTAAGCTGCCAGTGCAGGTAATAGAATAACTGAGCAATAAAGGTGGAAGGGACTTTAGAGGTCTACTAGTCCAACACCTTGCTCAGACCCTAGACCAGACGTCTCCAAAGTTGACAGCTTTAAGAATTGTGGACTTCCGACTTCTGGTTTGCAGGGCTTCGGCGGCAGGCAGGAATCCGCGATAGTGCGCGGTTTCTGCCTGGGCTCGCCGCTGGAGCACCCCGAGCCAGCTGGCTTCGGGGCTAAGCCACCCCGTAGAGGTGGTGAAGAGGGGGGAGATCGCCAGCAGGGTCGAGGAGAGCCGCATCTCTCCCCCTCAGCTGGTCAAACTCCCTTTCCCGAAGGCGGTAGGAGCGGTGGTCAGAAATGTTTTTTTTCTTCTTCTTCTCTCTCCTTCCTCACATTGACAACGAAGAGAGCTGAATAAGAAATCGGAAAAATCCGCTTTGGCACCAATAGGTAATTAAGCTGAAAATATAATTAAATGCCAAAGGGACAATAAAGATTTCTGGACACTAAAAAATCCTTTTTCTATAAGCAGGAAGGGAGAGGAAAAGAATAAAGGTAGGATCTGGAAGGAGGAGACTGCCTGGATTTCAAAAGAATCTAAAGTTAAACCTCAATAAGACTTCTAAAAGATACATTTTAACTGGAATTTTGTAACTAAATAGTAACCCCAGGAAGAGAAAGTGAAAAAAGAAGAAATTGTAAAAAGAAACAGCTTGTGTGTATTTGGATTGTTTGGTGACTTTTGGATTTTTGGATATTATATTTGAATGACTAAAAACAATTGGGTGGTTGTTTAAAAAATTCTACAATGGCATCACTTCTGGATGAACCAAAAATGGAATTTAAAAAATACAAAGAAGAGACACAAGAAGGGAAGGGCTCCTTTGGCTCCATTTTTCAATTCTTAGAAATGGCGATCTCCAACTACGAGAAACAACAAGAAAAGACTGCGCAACAAGAAGATTGGGACAAAGAAGAAGCCATCTTTAATGAACAAGTAACTCTATCTGGGGAAGAAAGGGAAAAGGGGGGAAAGAGAATGGAGAATTTAAGACTTAAAAAAACAGCCAAAAAAGGGAAAAATAATTTGAAAAGTGGATATAATGTTGGAAAGCAACAGAAAAGGGGAATACAGAAGAGGGAAATGGAGGTGGAGAGACAGGGGGGTAAAAAGGGGAGAGAGAAGAAGAAAGGGAAGAAGGAAAGGAAGAGAAGTTACAAAGGTTTGGAGCAAGATGTAAAGAAACAGGGCCTATTCAGAGATAATGAGTGAAAATCTAACTGAAAAAGGTATTCTGTGAAGGTACATAAGATGGTATTGTTATATTTGTAATAGAAATAATGTTAGAAAATTGGAAACAACATATGATTTAAAAGAGGGATAAAATAGTCAGTGTAATTTAGTGAAACTTTTGTGAACAAAATAAATGAAATAAAATAAATGAGAGAATTGAATTAGGAAGGAATGGGAACATTTTAATTACTTAATGTTTTATAAAATATAAGTGAAGTGGGGGGGGAATTAACTATGGAAAGTTTATAAGTGTTCCCATAGAAGTATGATATTTATCTGAAAAATAATGTGTAAAATGTTAAGATTTAAATGAATATTAATATTAATGATAGAATTGAATTGGAATGGATTGTTGTTTTAATTATAGTATACATTTATAATTTTTTCTTTTTTCAAAATACAGTGTGTAGTTTTAGAATGTACCAAGCAGAATCCTAATGGAAGTTATGTATTATATTAAGTGTTATAATTTTAGGGGAAAGATATAAAGGCGTCATACTCCAATCAGTGATTACAGGAGAAATTTTGTTTAATGAGAAAAGATAGTAGACAGTTGAAACAGGACAGACAAAGAATATAAGTACAATGATTTGTAATGAGATGAAATAAATAAAATAAAATAAAGAAAGTTAAAAGAGGGGAGAAGTTATATAGAAAATGTAGAATAGTAATAAGATATGGAATGGAATATAAAAATGAGCATGAACTTGAATTTGTGTCCGTACGAAGAGATGTAACCCGGGATTATGCTGCTTTCAAAAAAGATGCTCTATGTTTTTATGTTTTATATTTTGTTTGTTTATGTTTGTTTTTAAAAATCAATAAAATTTTCAAAAAAAAAAAAGAATTGTGGACTTCCTTTCCTTCCTTTTTCTTTCCTCTTTCTTTCTTTTCCTTCCTTCCTCTCTCTCTCTTTCTTTCAAATTCTGGGAGTTGAAGTCCACAAATCTTAAGGTCACAAGCTGGTGACCTACCGCTGCACCAGAGAGAGCATCTTAACTTCCTGCACCTGTGTAGGGTTTGCCAATTGCACAGGGGCAGATAGGAAAGCGCTCCAGAGGGTCAACGTCATTGCCCAGAGGATCCTGGGTTGCCCTCTCCCCTCTTTGGAAGAGCTTTAGAGCTCCCGCTGCCTTAAGAAAGTTCAAAACATTCTCAAAGATCCATCTCATCCTGGGAACCCTTTTTTTGAACTACTACCATCTGGCAGACGGTACAGGATAATAAAAACAAGGACAAATAGGCTGAAAAACAGCTTCTATCCCAGGGCAGGGATAGAATTCTACCGTATAGTGCAGTTTTGGTGCGGTGTCGGGGATTTTCGGTTCAACGTGTGGAGGGTGAAGGAGGTGTGTTTGTGTTTATTTTCATGGTCATGATGTGCACTGAAGATGGTGTTTGATTTCATTGTACGAGGTGCAATGACAATAAAGTAAACTAACTAACTAACTAACTAACTAACTAACTAAAGCTATCAACTTTGGAGAGCCCTGCCCTACACCGTTCCGGAGAAATGGCTGTCCAATCTTTTCTTGAAGACCCTCCCATGATGGTGATGGAGAACCCACAAGCTCCAGAGGCAGGGTGTTCCACTGATTAACTGTTCTCCCTATCAGGAGGGGGGCAGCCCTCTCCCTGCCTACATATTTACCTGCCCAGGTGACACTCAGCCACGCTTCATGAGCTTGGAAGGGGCGCCCAGGTCGACGCTCGCTAAAACATTCGTCCGAGGAACCACGGAAGCAGCGAAGTTTAAAAATGCAGCTTAGGTTTTCCTTGATCGGTTCTTTGGGACTGACAGGTGGTCCTCAGCTTACAACCAAAATCGGGAGCAGAATTTCCATGGCTAAACAAGGCAGCTCTTAAATGAGTCATGCCAAGCTTCAGGACTTTTTGCCACGATTGTTATTCATTCATTCGTTCATTTATCTATTCATTCTATCTCGGCTATTATTGTTATAAATAACTCAAGGCGGCCAATATTCTTCCTTCTTCTTTTTCCCCACAACAACAACCCTGTGAGGTGGGCTGGGCTGAAGGAGAGGGAGGGACTGGCCCAAAGTCACCCAGCTGGCTTTCGAGGCTAAAGCAGGACTAGAATTCACGGCCTCCTGGTTTTCTTTTTTGTTAAGCGAAGCGAATCTCTGAAGTTGTTAAGTGAGTCCTACATTCATTAAGTGAGTTCAGCTTCCACCACTGGTTTGCGTGTCGGATGCTGGCTGGGAAGATCCCACAGGGTGACCCTGTGAGCCTGCAACCATCCTAAATACATGCCAGTGGCCTGAATTTGGATCACATGATTACGGGAGATGTTGTAAGTGAGAGGACTGGTCGTAAGTCGTTTTTTTACAATGTCACTTTAGCTCTAAAGCAAGGGACTTCAAACTTGGCAAGTTTAAGACTGGTGGATTTCAACTCCCAGAATTCCTGAACTAACATAACTGGAGGAGGAATTCTGGGAGTTGGAAGTCCACAAGTCCACAAGCTGTCAAACTTGAAGACCACTGCTCTAAACGAATGGTTGTCAGTTGAGACTATTTGTACACATGAAAGAGGAGGAGGAGGAGAAGGAGGAGAAGGAGGAGGAGAGGAGGAGGAGAAGGAGAAGAAGAGGAGGAGGAAGAGGAGAAGGAGAAGGAGGAGGAGGAGGAGGAGGAGAATCCCAGTGTTGCAATATTTAAACCAGAGCTATCAAGGATGCTGGTGACCCTCTCAATTCCTTTCTCAAAAATTCTTAATATTTGACATTTGGCAAGGTACGAGAGGCCCTTCTCCGGCCCTGCTGTTCCCGGAGCATTGGCTTCCCCTCCAAGAGTTCAAAGGCTGTGTTTCTACAGGGGGAAAGCCAGAATTTTGGGGGGCTGCCAGGCTAGGAGGTGCCAGATGCATGCCTTGAAAGTTCAAAAGGGAAGGCCGGTGCTCTTCTCCTGCAAACTATGGCATTCCTTTGAAGCCCAACATCTGCCAAGTGTCCTCCACAGTTGGAATAAATGGAATTTCTAAGGCCACGGCTCCATCCCCGGAAGCCTAAGAGGCCCCTCCAAGAAGGGGGCAGAATAAAGCTGCTTTTCTGCTTAAGGGAAGGACAGGCTGCCTTGGCCCTTTTAAGGGGTGACAGGTCACAAGACCCCTCAGGGGGGGTTAAAGGCTCTGCAAGGGGCTGCAGATTTGCCAGGGAATGCAGGGCGGCCAGCCAGACAAGCAAACCGGTAGATAACTGGGCTGATCTGGACGAGTCTTGAAATTCCGGCCTCAGTTATTTCAGAGAAATTCCAGGGATAAGGTTCCTCTGCCCTCGCTGCTCACCCAGGTGGCAGATGCCCACAATTTGCCTTCTGGAACACACACCCGGCCCTTGCAAAACAGCCCCTGAGAAGGGAAAGGAGAACCTGCTTCCCAGAATCTGCCTCACCCCCTACTGGTTTATAATGGAGCCCTACATTGATCTCCTCTCTGCCTCTAATCACTAACCTTGTCTACCTCCATCTGTCTATCCAATCTCTCTCTGTCTCTGCCTCTCTCAGCTACTGATGTATCTATAGGTCTATCTCCAGTTATCATCTAATCTAATTCGCTTAGGGGAAGATGGACAGCATAAAAAAATTAATCAAAAAATAAATTCTGTCTGTCTGTCCGTCCGTCAGAAATGGTGTAGGGTCTCCTGCTTGGGCGGGGCAGTTGGACGAGAGGACCTACAAGGTCCCTTCCAACTCGGTTAATCTGTAAAAATATCTATCTATCCCTCTCCCTCCATCATTCTTTATCTATCGCTATCATCTCTGTCTGTCTTGTCTATCCCTCTCCCTCTCTCTCATTCTGTATCACCTGTCTGTCTGTCTTCCTATCATCATTTTTTCCTCTATATTTTATTTAACTTCTGTCCCACCAAGGTGGGTGAAATGAGGACCCAGATTGTTAGGGGAAAGAGGCTGACTCTGTAAACTGCTTAGAGAGGGCTGCAAAGCACTGTGAAGTGGTATACAAGTCTAAGGGCTATTGCTTCCTTCCTTCCTTCTCAGTATTTTCCTTCTTTTTACATTATATTCTTCCTTCCTTCCTTCCTTCCTAAGGTTGACTCAGCCTTCCGTCCTTCCCAGGTGGGTCAAATGAGGACCCAGATTGTTGGGGGCAAGAGGCCGACTCTGTAAACCACTTAGAGAGGGCTGGAAAGCACTGTGAAGCGGTATATAAGTCTAAGAGCCTATGGCTATCTCTATATTTATCTTCATCAACACTATCGCTAATTTCCTACGTCTACTAACCAGCACTCTGACTCTCTTATCTTATTTCTCTCTATCTCCATTTAGCTTTGATTTACCATCTTTCTCTCTCTCTCACTTTCAGCACCTACTTTTCCTCTCTAGTCTGTCTATTTACCTGGAGTGTGGAGAGACGTCACGCAATAACCCTTCAATTAAGGGCCGGGGGATTCAAATAAGTACAACCCTTTCTCCTCAGCCCAGTGGTCTCCAGCCAACTCCTCTTGCTTCCCGTCAGCCGGAAGGCCCAATCCTGGCTGAGAATGATGGGCACGGGAGTCCAGCCATCCAGGAGGGAGGGAGGAGAGAGAGAGAGAGAGACAGAAAAACAGAGACCAGAGAGAGAGAGAGAGAGAGAGAGAGAGAGAGAGAGAGAGA